CTAGAACAAGAAATCATCTGAGTTCCTTTCCAAACTTCAGGGTGGTCATCCAAGAAAGGGGCATGAATCCACCCAATCTCTCACATTTAGTCACACAGCTAACATGCACCCTGGTGGTGCAGAAACTAAGTGCGTGGGTCCTACAGAAAGGTTAACAGGTCCACTCTCCCAATAGCCCTGTGGGAGACAGATCTGCAAACAGTCCCACAAAGACAGTAAAAAACCCTCTGGGGCAGGTCTCCTCCTTCTACTCTATCACACAGTCCTCATCAGTCAGAATGGACCCACCAGCACCCGAAAACAATGACCAAAGAGAAACTCCTGAAGAATCATCAGCGAGGTGCCATCTGGACCCACCAGCATCCAGCAACAATGACCAAAGACAAACTCCTGAAGAATTATTAAGGTTTCACCAGAGTCAAGTACAAAAAGCTATAACCGTGATTCTTGCCCTACGGGTTATTCCATAGGGCAGGGAAAAAGTGCGTGCATGCGCGCGTGTGCGTGTGTGTGTGTGTGTGTGTGTGCGTTACAACCTTGTACAGGAAATTATTACATTGTGAACCTGTCAGCTCACTTTATAAGAGACAGTTTTTGTAGCTCAAATATTTACTGAACACATACAATGTACGTTACAGGTATTGCTTCACTATCCCAACTATATAGATAAGGAGACTGAGGCTCAAAGAGGTGACAACTTTCCTGAGGTCACAGAGCGAGCAAATAGTAGGACTAATATATGAGCTCACCAGGCTGAGGCTGGGAGTATGTCCTGGTTCCATCCTCTTCACCATCAGGCTACAACGCACACATAGCTCATATCTTGCTCACTAAGGAGATGCCATTTTTGAGTCAAGCGACGATGAGGTTCACAGTCATTCAAGTTTTCCAACCTGATCTTCCCATATCAACAGTTAACACGAGTGCCATGCCATCTATGACAACTAGTGTTGCACGTAAAAGCAACAGTGTGACATCCCCATTTGTTTCAGAACCTCTTTGCCTCAAAAGCCTCATGATCAGCTGACATCAACTCTGGAAGCCAAATGGGTAACGAGAGGCAGAGAACAAGAGCATCGCTTGGTCTCTGGAAAGAACATCTCAATCCCGCCTTCCAGGTGGAAGAACCAGGCTCAATTCTAAGACGATGCACCTCACAGTGCTAGCCACCACCTGTTAGTGGGGGCTTCAAGTTGTGATGATGTTGACCAGCTTTCAGTGGAACGTCCAGACTAAGATGAACTAGAAAGCAAGGGCTGGCTATCTATTTCCAAATACCAGTCAGTGGGAATGCTGAGGGTCACAATGGTGCTGTGGTGGATGGGACTGTCATGAGACAGAGACCAGCGCGATGGCACCAACATGGAGAACCTCAAAGTAGAAGCCAGAGGAGTTTAGCTCCATGCTGAAGGCTCCAGGCTCCAGAGTCAGCTGCTCCAGAGAAGGTACTTTCCTTCTCTCGGGTCCAAAGGCTGGGGCCCTTTGGTAGATTTATCATAGTTTTCAGTCCTTCCATTCGAATAATTTTATATCCCTTGGGAGAGGGATAGCATGCTTGTAAAGGTGGAGGGACAGAGCAGGAGAGGAAGACCCAAGATGATATGGATTGACACAGCGACTGAAGAAATGGGATCAGGCCTTTCAGAGACAATGAGATTGGCTCTGGACAGGGCAGGTTTCAGGGCTAAGGTACACAGGGTTGCTCTGAGTCGTGGGAGACTTGAGGGCAACAACAAATACAATGAGTTAAGAAAAGGAGCTAAGAAGAGGGAGGGGGGAGAAGAAAGAAAAGGGTATAAGGGAGCTCTGGTGGCCTAGTGGCAAGAAGCTGCACTGCAATCCCAGAGGTATATGGTTTAAATCCACCAGATGCTCTGCTGGAGAAGGTGGGGCAATCTCCTGTACCAGTCAGATCAGATTTGACAGCACACACACACAAATAATAAAATTAAATTAAAAAAAGGTATAGGAGTTTGTATGGTCATGTACTGTGTCTCAAAAGCCTTTACTGGCCCATCTTCACGGTTCCCTTACAAGTGATAACAAAGCCACCTGGCTGTCCTGCAACAGATGCTAGGGTCTCATTTTCATTTCTTTAGGATGTTGTCAGCTGGGCACAGAACAGGTCCTGAAATGGAATTGAACATTCTGCTGCCCATCGGAGGCTGTCAGTTTAGGATACGGAAATGAGTTACTCATGACTGAGAAAATGATAATTTAGACTAAAGGCTTCTAGAGGACAGGGCTGGTATGCTAGTTAGAGAAAGGGTCACAAGAAAGACAAGGCTTGGTGGATGTTGGGGGCGGGGACTAACTCAGATATGCAAATGGCTTGTTTTATATCACTGACCTAACAAGAAGATCTGGGGACGTGTGTATGCATGTGTGTGTGTGCGTGTCCATCCTAAAACACTAACACATGTTAAATATCATTGTGGTACCAAAATGTTTCTCTTGTATTCTAGAATGTGCCCAAATATGACTGTTATTCTCAATCCTCAATCCTAAGGTAGCTACATTAAGATTGTTGTTGTTGCTATATGCCGTTGAGTTGCCTGTGACTCATAGTGACCCTACGTACAACAGCCCTAACCCCTGCTCTATCCTGTGCCAATCTTATTGTCTCTGACACACCCACTCCCATTCCCCCAGTCACTCAATCAATCCATCTCATCGAAGGTCTTCCTCTCTTGCGCTGTCCCTCTGCTCTCCCAAGTATGATGTCCTTCTCCAAGGACGGTCCCTCCTTGCAACATGTCCAAAGTATGTGAGACAAAGCTTCAGAATCCTTGTCTCTAAGGAGCAGCCTGGTTTAACCCTTTCCAGGACAAACCTGTTTGTTCTCCTAACAGTCCATGGTATATTCAATATCATAACCACTTGACTAGGAAAAACAGTAACAATAAAAAGGCATGTGATTATCATTCTGAACGTAACTCTTGAATTTACAGAAAAAGTAATTTCTAAAAACTTCCTAAACTGGTTAAAAAGAAATGCTGGTAAAGCCCTACCACAATCAAATCCATAAAAGCTTCAACTCTTGAGTGTTACTGCACTTAACTGTTCCCTAGGTCAGGGAAAGAACGAGGGAGAAAGGGAGTGGAGGGGGAGAAAATGGAAGAGGGGGTGCAAAGGGGGGAAGGGTTAAAGAAAGAAGAAGGGGTGTGAAGTGAGGAAGGGGGAGGGAAGGAAGAGGAAAAAGAAAGACGGGGTGCAAAGGGGGTGAGGAAGGAAGAAGGGGTGTGAAGTGGGGTAGGGGAGACGGGTGTGGAGGTGGAAAGGGAGAGGGGTGAGAAGTGAGGAAGGGAAGAGGGGTGAAGGGAGGAGAACACACACACTCACTGAATCATGAGAATTAGAATCTGCAAGTTCCTTTACAAATCACGGCAGTCTCAATCCTAAATCCACATCTACTGCTAAGCTTTCTCTCATCTTATCAAGAGTTCTCATATCATACTGAACCATTATCCCAATGTAAAACTCAGCTAACGTCATTTCAGCTGCCGCATGGGCCTTCTGAACCTAGAAAGCATGACACAAAAAGCCTCAGGCGTTATCCCATCGAAACGACTCCCAGGTACACCATTCACAGCACTTTTTTGAATCTATTACAAAGTCTGCCTTGTACCTGTGTGACGACTACCTTGTAGAACCTCCTGGACCCTACACAACTCCAGGGGGCACCATTCACACTTGCCGTTCCACACTGGAAGTACAGTAATGCTAATTAGCCTGACTCCACCATTCTAGACTCAAGGAATGGCTCTGTAGAGACCGATTCCAAGAACTGTGGACTGAAGTCAGGAGAACAGGCACAGTGCGCCTGTGTTCCGAGGCCGGGATCCTCCTCACTGCTGGGTTGGGAGAGCAGTACCCCAGTGGGAATGCAGTGACTTTCTAACGTTCTCTCTCTTAGTGTCAGAAGCTGGGCTCCCCCACTGCAGACGTACGGGAGACAAATGGAAAAGGTCCTGGGCAGTTAAGGCTTGGCATCTGCCCATCAGTGAGGTGGGCTCTCAGCAGAGCAAACTACCCACTGGAGAAGTCTTAGCCCTGATTCTGGTTTCAACTTCCAGAAGGGGAACAGTCTAGAGACTTGGGTTGGCATCCAAGGGTGACAGGGCCTGGAAGGAGATGGCTAGAGATAGTTCAAGGACATGGGAGTCAAGCCTGCCAGGCTGTGCCCTCCACATTCCATGACATACAGGCCAAGGAACAGACTAGTTCTTTACTAGTGGATACAAAGAAGGAAGGCTTGCAATAGCCACTCAGAATAACAGAAAGTTACCTTCACTCAGCGCCCACCTGCAAAGCCCTACCTGTCTGTGCAGGTGTGTTCTGACCTCCTGATGAACCATAAGTACCAAAAGAATGAGAACTACATCTGCTTTCACTCTGAAATCCTACAAAACTGTACAGTAAGTTCGAGACCAGTAATTGTTTCACGGGTCCCGACCCACTCAGATGGGAAACATCGGTGCAGATGATATCAAGAGGAGAGGCGGGTAAGGAGAGTGGACTGGCAGTCATCTTCCATGGCTCCATGCCATCAAGAAGGCTGGAAGAGTCAAGTGCATTAAGATCAGTTTTCTTTAGAGCGGATGGTAAAATCACTTCCTAAGACCCCGGGCCAGGTAATAACTTGCCAGGTGAAAAAGGAGGCATTGCAGATCCGTCTAGAAGGCAGAGTTCTAACTGGTGTCTGAACAAAATGCCGAATAAGCCACAATGGTGGAAAGTCACAGAGAGAACCCAGTAAGAGAACAAGCTTATGGGAGAATTGTAGGCGTCACAGCCATCACAATTGATAAAGACCCAAATCGCATTTGTCCTGAAAATCAGGGAAGGAAATGTGACAAATGCCATAGCCAACACAGAACACCCACATCACAGAAGATGTACCAAAACCGCTGTCCCAGCTGGGCCCTAATATTCAGCCTCTCTCACTAGAGGATGACTTCCAACAGCTATGCTCAGGGATACTCCCATCAGAGATAGTCCCTGGAACACCAACTTCCCCTGACTTCCCCAAGGAGTCATGGTGATGCTGAATGGAGCCACAGTGGAGGCCAAGGCAAGGCTCTCCAGCCTGGTGTCTGGGTGAGCCCAAGGTCCCCAAACCAGGCAGTGTGCATGGCTGCAGGGCCTGAGGCAGGACGGCAGTCACCATGCTCTTTGCCCATGTTAACACACTATTCTTACATCTGAGAAAGGGGCCCACTTACATAGTTATCCCGTGCGGACCAGCCAGGGTAGAGCTGCATATGGAGTTGTCGTTCCTTCCGGGCTAGTTCATAGTACTTTGCTTGCTCTTCTCTAGATAATGCGTGCCACTGAGGGGTGCAGGGAGGAAACAGACATGCAAAAAATGTCACAAAATACATTATGGCCACGTGCCTTAGTCGAGCAAGTACATGTAGAATTGCTATTATCTGCTGATACTGACTAGCTTTCTAGATCCTGGCATTAAAAACCTGTTAAGTCTGTTTCCAAAGGGTCACAGCCATGAATTAAATCCTCTGGGCCTTATTCGACTCGCACACACAGGATACCATGACTTGGACCTGACTCAAACGGCCTTGGGTTCAGGTCCTGGTCCTAATAGCAAATGCTCAGACAAGGGCCTGACTCATTGGTAACACTGCACATTATCTTAGTATTTGCTCTCTGCCCCCAGGAAGGAGGAATGGCTCTGGTCAGGGCTGCTCCAAATCTTATCAGAATGGGATCAGGAAGGATCGTCTCCACATGTGGGGACAGGGACATCTCCTAGCTCACTTCCTTCTCCCACTGCAGGGAGCCTACCCTCCGCCCGAGGATCTGGTTGATGGCTGCGCTTTCCTTCAACGTGCACTCGGCTACGACCTTCGCTCTCATTTCCTTCATATACAACATGAACGCGTTAAGAGGTTTCTTGATGTGGGGCTTCTTCTTCTCTTCTTCCTTTTTGGAGTCCTGATGCTTTCTGAAGAGAGACAAGACAGACAGACAAACTCCATCAAGGGTCACACAGCTCAGCTTTCTCTCCGGCAGGGGGCCCTGGCGAGGCTTCTGACACCCAAATCCAACTGTCTAGACTGAAATGCCTGCTTCTACCTTTAGTCTTCTTCACTTGGCAAAACAGATAGAGGAAGCACAAGACTTTGAAATGATGACTTCTCAAAGATGGAGACTTCTGCTAGTTTCACAAATACACAATTTTCCCCAAGTCCAAACATCACATGTGGCTTTTCTCCATCCTGATAAGGAATCATTTGTCATTTCAAAACAAAAACGCCAAATGTACCATTAAGGGGTTAGGGGTCCACTCCAGTTCTACAGAAAAGACTCCTGGTCTTCCCTGGGTTGTGTGCACCCAGTCAAACTCTGCCATGCTCTATTTTCTCCCCTCTGTGAGGAACCCACAATGGTTGGGGGTTTACCGGACTCAAACCCGGCCAGGTCACCAGAGGCTGAGAATCAAGCCCCTCCCCAAGGCCACCACTGCTCTATTGGGCCACTCAACCCTCTGGCGACAGAGAAGGGGACAGCAAGAGAGGACTTACGAGCTGTGCAGGGAACCGACGTCACTCTGCGAGGATTCCTGTTTGACTGTCGGCGTGACTATGGCCGGATGGGGAATGCCGGTCGTGTGGAGAGTATGATGTGGTGGGACCATATGGGGTGGGAACCTGGAAGACAGAAAGCTGTGTAAATCGTCAGAATAAAAATGAATGAATGGGGAGGGATGCGTATACACAATTAAAAAAAAAATTACAGCACGTAACACTCACATGAATGAAACCTAAGTCATATGAAACCTGTCAGCATTAATTAGCGATAAATGAAACATAATGATGCTCATAATGTCATTAAAGCCGCTCTTCCCCTTCATTATTGCTACTGACATGAGACATTATGATTTTTAACATCTTTAGCAAAAGACAAATTCAACTGATGTACTTGGGCGGAAAAGTGGGCTCGGACTACCTGCTGGAAACGGCACGTCCACTTTCGTTCTGAGGCCTTATTAGTGGCATCTAAGAAGACAATTTCCTAAGCCCTAATCTGCTCAAGACTGAAAGGGAAAAGCTTTTGTTGTATATTGACAGCCAAATAAAATATTAACGTGGCTGAAGTATACACAGATTTTTGACAGTGCTGGGCATGTCTCATTAGAGCTCATTCTAGTGATGGATGCGATGAAATTTTTATCTTTCTTCAGCTGCTAGGTCCCTCCGTTTTAACAAGAAATGGAAGAGTGAGGCACAAAGATGGGCAGCCCACCCAATTCTTCCCTTTTGGATCGCAGCATAAGTCGCTGAGATTTTAAATACGTTCGTATCCCCTTGTGGAAAGAAGCAAAGAAAGCAGACACAAAAATGACATTTTCACTTTGAATTTGTATGTCTGCTCCAGGACGATCCTCCTCCTCCTAGGATTTCTGGATTTTTATGTAACAACACGTTTCTCTGTGCCTTAAAAAGTCTTCTGAATGACTATGAAGATTGTAAGCGAAAATGAAAAAAAAAAACAACAAAAACGTCTTCTCGTGTGGTGCTGGTGATTTTTAGGAAAGTTCTCGGAAACTCATTTTCAGGTCTAAGCAGGCATTTCCGTGGAAATTAGCCAGAACATGAAAGGCTCATTTTAAATTTCAAAACTTTCCCCCTAACTGCAAACTAGTAAGTGGATTTGGCAAACAGCTTTCACATGCTCTGATATGCTTTCGAGTCATGAGGATTTGTACTGGGTTAGAAGGCACAATTCTCTTGAACTTACGTTGTACTTGGGTAAGAGCAATCAAGAGAGGTAACAGAGGACAGAATCCTGAGAGAAAACAAAACAGCCAGCCTCCTATTCCAACCTGGTGTGCTTAAATCAGGGCAGCCTGGGCTTTATTCAGGTAAAGGAGAATACAGACCACAGCAGAGCTTTCCCAATAAATCCCAAGCCAAATAAGTCCAAGGAGCCTTGGCAGGAATAACCACTCGCTCTGCAAGGTGGCTGGGTCAGCTGGATCTTAGTCCAGACTGTGGATGGGAACTGGGGGTACAAAGGAGGTATCATGACAGTGGTCTCAAAGGGACCCTGCCTTTATTTACAAGGCTCTCTTCATAGGAGGACCAGAGATGAACTCTATTTCCATTGAGTCAAAATAATGTGCTTGAAAGGATGAATGAAAACCAATCTCTAACACCTCTCACTAAAATAACAACAAACAAAACCATAAAAAACCAAAGTGCTGATTTGAAAACTGATGAAAAATAACTAAACAGAGAAAATAAATACCAATGAGGCAGCATTTTGAAGAGGGCACAATGACACTGAACTTGGAAATGGCATCTCAATGGGCCCTCTCTTGTCTTTCTTTGCCTTTAAAAATAGAGCCATCATTTGAACTATTATATATTTGATATGAAGTTATTAACTTGTAGGTGCAAAGTTAGTATTTTGGGTTTTGTTAAGAGTTGTCTTTTACACACAAGCAATAACAAAATTTAAAAAAAGTCAGTGTTCAAAATCCACTTCCTAAACAACATGCCTCTGGAAACTCTATGAACTTTGATAAATATTGATAGTTACAGAAAGGCTTCAGGCCTTTTGTTCATAGGGTCGCTATGAGTTGTGCTCAACTCAATGTCAATCAACAACAATTAAAATCAAGAACTGCATTAGCCTATTTGTTGTTGTTGCTTATATATTTGTATATTGTATATTTGTAGTGTTGTTGAGTTGCCTGAGACTCATATGATTCTATGCACAATAGCTCTGAGCCCTATCTTATCCTGAGCCAATTTCACTGTCTCCAACACAACGACTTCCATTACCATCTTTACTAGATCAATCCATCTCTTCCTGGGTCTTCCTCTCTTATGATGTCCCTCCATTAGTTCATTTAGGGGGTCCTGCAGGAGTGGCATCCACTTCTTAAATAACACGCCTTCGGAAACTCTATGAACTTTGATAAATGCCAATAGTTGTAGAGGGGCTTCAGGCTTTTTGTTCGTAAGGTCACTATGAGTCGTGCTCGACTCGAAGGCAATCAACAACAACAACAACAAAGCAAACAACTCTTGGAGCCCCCAGAGAGATAAGGAAGTCCTTAGGGGCACTGGGGGTTCTTGAGCTAACCCCCACCCACCCTTCTCTCATTCCTCCTTTTTGCTCTAAGGCCTTGGAGGAAACACAAGGTAAGAAGATGTATTCTTGGAAGCCACTAGTTGAAGCAGTAGGTGCAGTGGCAGCTTTTACTGTGAACTTTAAAGGCTTGACATTCCTCAAAAACATATGTTCCCTTCCTGCAGAAAGAGTATAGGTGTACAGACACTGGGGTGGGAGTGGGAGGAGTTGTGCAGAGGAGGAAGACAGACCAAAAAAAAAAAAGCACTGTAAAGGTACACGTGCAAGCGTTTGTGCACGAAACAGCAGAGATACCACATTTAGGAAAGTGGCGCCCAAGTGCAGCAACCAAGACCCAACACTTCTACCTCCATACACCCATCCATACACCAGAAACACTGATAGCAGAGGAAGAGTGTTTGTGCTTGTGTTTGTGTGTGAGGGTGGTATGCACGCTTTCACTTACGAAATTTCTTTTTGCAGACAAATGTTTCACGAAATGCAATAAACACCCTAAAAATTCTAAGCAGCTCATTATATACCCCCGTCTGCTTTCATGGCTCCGAGCCAGAATATAATGATGAACCTTTACTTGTTAAGGACAACTAATTTTTGTTTCTGGCTGTCTCAGGGGCTCCTCTCTTACTCACTCTCGCTCTGCCTCACTGTTGACATGTTCCTGTTAACTGCATGTCATCTGCCGGCCTTGATTTTATGCACAAGCAGTGGGATGCACTTTCCTGTGCAACAATCCTGCTCTGAGTTGCATTAGATTTGTCATTATTCTCTCATTTTCCCCCTTGCACTTGTAACATTTCATCTCTTCCTGCCTTATTTTTTGTGAGTCACGGTGCACCCACATTATGGTTTATACATGATCTCGCTCCCTTTGAAGCCGGCAGATTTCAGAGCCCGCTCTCGTCAGGAGGAGAGCCTTGCACCAATTTAGTAGGCTGAGGGCCCGGAGCTCCAACATCTCAATCTAAAGGGGGTCACAGGGTGGCACAAGTGAGTGTCAGCAAGAGCTGTTTAATTGCCAATCTAGGCTTCTCCATGGTGTTTAAAGTATAATGACCCATCACTTAATTCTGAGAAGTCCTGGCCCCGCTGCTGAATAGAATGAATATCAAAGGGTGTTCTGGAACAGGGCAAGCTGCCTACATTTCCTAGAACTGCCATAAGTATAATAGACCTATACTTCTGTCGCCCCATTACCACAATAATGTATTTAATTTGCTGTATACGATTTTAACTAGCTACCTTTCATAAGCCCTACCTGGGGAATCAGCTGCCAACCCTGCACTTCGTGCCCCTCACCTTTCCTCCCTCCACTCCCTTCATGCCCCTGCCCACCTACAAATCACCAACTCACCTCCTAACGATAATGTGATCGATAAGCTTAACCTCAAGCCTTATGCTGTGATTCCATCACTGCTTTTAACCTCTGGAATCCACCAAATAAACAAACATACAAAATATGCAGGTATCTAAGCTGGCCACTGGGATGCAGGGAGAAAGTGCTGCAGATTATGAACCTCTTGGACCCTAGTCTCCCTCTGGGAGATTCCTGGTTCAGTTCCATGTTTTCTGAGGTTGTGACTACATTATTTAATGAATGAAACCTCCTTCTTCACAGAAGAAGTGTTTTCTCCCAACCCAACCTACAATGATTTTTGAAATTGTGGAAAGCATAGCTTTAGGATTACACAATAATCCTTCAAGAATTACAAATGGTTTGTTTTTATTAATGAATGATATTCTCATTATCTCCCCCACCAAAATCACTCTTTGGCAGACAGGCAAGGGGCACTTGGAGCCACCTGGCTAACCCGTCCTCTGGTCTTGGGCTTCCCACGCTGGTCTTGGGGGAGGAGGCTGGGGACAGCATCTTTGCCATGTAATGCATGCTAATTGAATTATGTGCCATCATCAAAATGGATTAGTTGCTTCAGCCCATCAGGAAAGTCTAAACCTCCACCGATTTAATTAACTTGACTGAAAATCAGATGAACAGAAGATAAAACTATCATTAGGAGCAATTAGTGACTACTTAAACATACTGCTGCCAACCAGTTTGTAAATAAACTAGCAGTTCCTGAAAAATTAGTCAGAATAAGTCAGAGATAGGAAATGGAGAATACAGGGATATGAAAGATGTGTCTGTGTGTGTATTTACATATACATACGTTGACTGTGTTATAGACGAATGTATCAATATACTTATTTGCAGAAAAAGCACAAGATTTTCAATATATTGAATGTTTTTTATTATTTTATTATTTTTTGTGTACCATCATATCATATCATATCATATCATATCATATCATATCATATCATATCATATCTGATGGGTGTAAGAGGAGATTGCCCCTCCTTCTCCAGCACAGCATCTGGTGGATTCAAACTGCATACCTCTGGGACTGCAGTGCAGCTTCTTGCCACTAGGCCAACAGAGCTCCCTAAAACACTGAATTTTTTAAAATTTTTTTACAGATTGACACTGTGGTGTTAGCCTAAAAGTTGGCTTTTTTTAAGCCATTTTGCAACCTGTTACTTTAACGGAAAACACATGGTCTTGCAATTCAGCATGGTTTTGAAAATAAGCATCAGCTGTGAGACCAAGACAAGTGAAAGAGTACTTCCCACACTGTGCAGCAAGACTTTGAGGTGAGCAAGGCTTGTGGAGGTAAGAGCCTGGAGAGAGTGAGACCCTCGTGGTAGAGAGACTGTGGCAATGCTGTGGAGAAACTGTGTCGAGGTGTGACCTAAGGCTTCCTGCATTTGTGCTGGCCATATCTGGATTTTGCTGTTCCTGCCTTTGATGATGGAAGGAAAAGCTGCTTGCTGAAATGCAAGTTGAGCCTGGACTAACTGAGGAGCTGTGCCTTAAAACTTTTGCGGTAAAATCTGGACTTATTTTGGATGATACTGCAATATTCTTTGCCTCTCCCATTCTCCAACTTCTTTTCCTAATAAACCCCACTGTTGGTACCATAACTGTGAGTCAGCACTTCTTGCTATTGGCGGGGCCCTACAAGCACCGTGGGGCTGGGCTATGGAGTCTATCTGCTTTCTCCTCCGGGGTAGTGAGGGGCTGTTCTTACACTCCCTGGACCTTTCAGAGACATTCCTGGCCCTGTGTCCCTATGTCCTGGTTCCTCCACGTGAGCTAGACACACTAATGTAAAAGACTGTTAACTGAAAGGTTAGTATTTCAAATCCACCAGCCATTCCAGTCCTTTACCATAAGCCCATGGAAGGAATGGAGTGGACTTGAAAGCAATAGGGCTTGGCTTTTGCTTAGGCTAATGGTAGTCACTCTCAACCACTTGTCCAAACTGAGATGTGCTTTTAGGGCAAATTTTCATTGGATTTCGAATACCAAGTAATCCCCACCCCCAACATACACACAATACAGATTATTCGTAAAATCTCCTTAGGAGATGTTTTCCAGTGAACACATGTTAAACAATGACATATTCTGCATATAGTTGCTTTAAATAAAATAGTAAAGATAATATCACCTCAATAGTTACATGGCAAATGTTATATAATATTTTTAATTAAGATAATTTCATTTGGTTTTTTCTACCTTATTTTTTTTTAAATGTGGCTATTAGAAATTTGCATTTTTGGGAGCTCTGGTGGCCTAGTGGCAAGAAGCTGCACTGCAATCCCAGAAGCGCATGGTTCGAATCCACCAGATGCTCTGCCGGGAAAGGAGGGACAATCTCCTCCTGTACCAGTCAGATCTGATCTGACGGTACACAGACACACACACAAAAATAATAATAATAATAATAATAATAATAATAATAATTAAAAAATTTGCATTTTTATATGTTTCTAATATTTCTATTAGACATACTCCTTTAGAAATGTGTGTGGATTAAGGGCAGAGAGTCCTTTCACATTGCCTTATAAAGAGGCTAACTCTGAAAAAGATCAATACTCTTTCCTCCCATTCTTCCTTGTTTAATAATAAAATCTCTTTCATTCTGTCCTTTCTTATTCAGTAAACACTTAAAAAGAGAAAAACAAACCAAAACCAGACAATGCTAAAAGCAAGCAAAAAATTCCCCAATTTTCCTGTCAATTTCCTTCGCCCCTCTTAATTTTTTTTAAAAAAATATTGTTCAGTTGACTAAAAAAATTAGCCCTAAAAGCCTTTATATCACCTACCTTGGAAGTTCAGGTCAATGTCTCAAGATAATCTAGGAGGAAAGCCTAATATTTTAGTATTGAGGCCATTAACATAAGTAGGAGCAATTCCTGATGACGTGGTGGAGGTCTATGAGAACGTTCCTCGATGCTACCCATGGCCTGGGCGCAAGGCTCCAGTTCCTGGAACTCACCTGGACATGGAAGCGTTGACGGTCAGAGCTGTGGGGTAAGGGTGTCTGAATCCTCCGGTCGTGATTGGATACACGGGCTGACCTTGCCTACAAAGAGGTGCGCAAAAGGTGAGTGAGTGGAAACACAGATGGGGGTGGGGAGCCAAGAAGTACGGAAGGGGGAAAATTCTCTCTGCACAGTAAGCTTTATTCTCATTTGATCAGAACAAAAATCTTGGGGATTGTACAGGAAGGATCAAAGGGAAGAAACACAGAACAATTTGAATGCCATAAATCTGATAGGAATGGCTAATTAAATTTTATAACCTCTGCTTATGTCAATAGAGACCCTCTCCCCAAGCTGAAACTAGGTGTTTTGTTGTAATAATTAAAGGCGAAGTCTCGCTTGCTTTAATGGAGCCATCACACTAATTGAGGGCTACACATCCAAAGGAAAACAATAATGAATGTAAATTTATACCAAAATAAAGTACAGTGAATCAAAGGACTTCAGTTGCGCTTTGGGCCTCTTTCGGTATTTAGATCTTGGTGAGAAAACATTAAATTAACAGAGCTTAATTTGTAGCCTTTTGTCAAATTAACAAGTGTTGACAAGAGTTACCGGGGGGAGAGTCCCCAAGAAGAATTGTGGGTAACCAATAGACAATCACACCTCATTACAATAATTAAAAAATACAGCAACATGCAAAATAGCATCCTCATGAAAGACACGCAACTTTTTCTGACAGAGGGCTGTCTAAGTTGGCGATTCCTTTTTATCCGGCCTTCAAATATCTCCCATCAGCTGAGCGGGGCACATGAAGACTGAGAACTAGTCAAGATGTGACCCATCTACTGAAGAAGAAATGGGTCAGAAGCTCTTGTTCATGTCGACTCTCCAAAAAAGAAACAAGGGAATTAAACCCCAGAAATACGCACCTCAGGCTGGTATTTTGTCTTACACATTGCAAAAGCTGGCTTGTTCCGTGTTGTTTAGAAAGCACTGAATCTATTTCACTACTAAATGTCTGTCCTAAGACTCAAACTTTGGGATTTTTCCAAGATTTAAAATATTTGTTAGGACTTAACAAAATGTTCTGTGTTTTCTTTAAAAGAATAGAAATCACTGATAAACATGGAAAAATACGTACACAAACCCTACAACCACATCTCTCTCTCACTCACAATGCACTCCTATATATTAAAAATCTGTCTATGGTCTGTGTAAACTATACATCTTAAGTTGTCTAAGACCAATTAAAGGAAACTCTGGTGGCACTGATAACCTAAAAGTGGCCAGTTCAAATCCCCCATCAGAACTCCATAGGAGAAAGATGGGACTCTCCTCCTGTACAATTTACAACCTCTGAAAACAAGCTGGAGGATCAGCTATGAGTCAGTTCCAGCTGAACAGCAATGAGCCTGAGTTGAAGGCCCATTAATGGAGAACGTTATTTTAAAAGAAGGCTGAGTAACAGAAAGACAATGGACAAGACAAGTAAATGAGCACTGCCAGACACTGGGGCTGAGACACTAGGAAGGCCCCATGTGGTGGAATGATGGTTCAAGCTCTTCAGCTCTCACTTCCCATAGTTAGGTAACCCATTCACTGTACAGAGAACTTTTACTAAGGAGCTTCTCAACAGAGCAAACCTTACATTGCTGTCAACCTTGGGAGTGAGGGCTGAGAAGGGCTGGCGGATTTGTGGGCTTCTGTGAGACATGCCTAACATGGATTTAAAAACTAGGCTGCTCCTGTACCCATTCCTCTGCCTCCATATATACAACTCTGAAAAGGAATGACTCCCCATTTTATCCAGTGATAAGAACCCATTTAGGGCTCAAAAATGGCACAAGGGCTATAGACTCGCAGAACACTGCATGCTTCTTTAGACAAAAACCTTCTTAATTACCCAAAGAATGTTAAAGGTACCTTTGTCCATAGAAGGGAATCTAGGGTTCAGAAGCCTACATTATCACTAGCCTTTACCCCATATAATCCATCTGAATGACTAGTGACTGGCCCGTTTCCCCACTTGACACCTTAGCAAGCAAGTTCCCCCAATGTTGCTTTCCAAGGCGCGTGCGCGCACGCGCCCACACACACACACACACACACACACACACACACACACACACTCTCACAGGATAAATAATAAAGCATGCCCATGTAAAAACGAAAAGGAAATTAAAAAATGGAACTCCTTACTGTGGTACTAACCATCCTAGCGGATGGGGGATTTGTCCTACGGTGCCAGGCGATAGCGGGTAATATGGAGATATATCTGGAGGGTGCGGAGGCCGTGGGATTCCTGAGAGAAGAAGAAGCAGTTTAGGTACAAAGAATGGAGAAAAGAGAAGCTGTTGGGGGACAGGAGCAGGGGGAGACAAAACGATCTCTAATTCTAGCACAATGTCTTTTTCAAGTTTATGGTCATAAGCATTCTCAGTATGCTTTAGTCTGTCCTTGGCTCTCTAGTAAACGAATGTTATTTCCTTCTAGATAGACTGGTACACTAGGTGGAACTGAACAGACCAGAAAATGCAATCCCGTATGACTCCTGTGATCATCTGAGATTGTTGGGTTTTTAAAAAAAAATTAAGTGCTTGGTACACAGTAGATGATAAGTTAGTAATTCCTTTGCCCTTAATTTGTCAATTTAAGCTTTTAAATTCAAATGACTAGCCTACCCAGAAAAGTTGCTTCTGATTACTAACACACTTTGTGAGTGACCTCTTGTCTTCTGGAAGATTGTTCTTACTTTCTTTTGGGAAAGGAAAAAAAAAAGACAAAAACTCCCAAACCCCAACTCCTTTGGAAGGTATGTATCTCATCTTAAAAGATCAAGTGTAGCAAGAAACTGACCAAGTCCATCTGATGTTTCCTCCAAATGCAGAATCAGAATGAAGAGGTAAGGGATGGTAAAGGTTTGGTAAGCTTGATTCCAGAATAATCTAGTCGGCTAGAACACAGAGTCACCTGTGTGAACTGACCCCACTTGCTGGCTGGGAAGAAGGTACTGAACCTCTTTGGGGGCAAAAAATCTTCATGGGGTACCTGAGTGGGTCCTAGGCCCCAAGTCACCACAAGTACACACACTAAAATTTATGGGGTGCACATCCAGCAGTCATTCTAACAGAGCACAGGGCTGGGGCAATTCTGACAGGAAGCCAGCCCCACATCTAAATGGCAAGCTGAGAGAATACCATAGAACTGAGCAGATTTGGAAGGGAGTGAGTGGCACGTCTGTGGATGAAAGTTATTTCAATTTTAAAAAAAAATCACTCAGGAAGCTTTTAATCTGTAAATTAAGTTCTCCCTGGGTGACAATTCCATCCAGGCATTGCTTTCTCTCTATTACAAAAACCAAACAGATTAACAGGGCTCGGACCATACACTGAGCCATTTGCACACTTGAAAGAATGTTCGCCGAGGATAAGTAAACAGTCCACAGACGTTAATCATATGTTTTACGATAACCATTTAAAAGCTATTCCCTGTACTACCATTATTTAAATGAGACGTGGTGCTGCCATTCACATACAGAGCCAGGCCAGCTAGGGGCCTCCTCCGCCTTCTCCCCCACCCCCCCGCCATCCAAGTGCAAGGCTGAGTCCCGACAAGCACACAAAGGGAGCTCAGTAGCCGCCAGGCCAGGGGGGAAACCAGCTAATGTGTGGCTTCATTCAGGGGCAGGGAAGGCCGCCTAAATAGGCAGCCTACCTCAGCCTGGAACCAAACAATCCCCTCTGACAAAGTGACACCAAATCACCATTTTAAATCCATCTTTCTAATTAACTAGCTGAGAACAGGAATCCCTAGCCAGTGCTCAGGCTGGCAGCGTTCACCAGGCGTTAAGCCATTCCCCTAAAGCGACCCCACTGTGAGCTGTGGCTGCTGGCTCGGTTTAAATCTTGTTCTAGGGGGCGCTAAAGAGCATTACATTACATTACACTACACAGTACATTATGAACTGGGCTGCTAACCAAAAGGTCAGTGGTTTGAATCCATCAGGTGCTCCCTGGAAGAAAGATGAAGTGGTCTCCTCTCATCAAGAGTTCCAGACTCAGAAACCTGATGGGCAGCGTCCGCGAGTTGTAACCAACACGATGGCCTGTTCAGTTTGTTTATTTATAAGGGGCATCACAAGAAACATCACCTTTCCTTTCTCAATCTCTCCTCTTTCGGAAAAAAGCCATCAATGAGCAAACGTGATGGGAGGAAGAGACAAGTATCAAAACTAAAGAGGAAGTGATAACTTTGGACTGATATCCTACTGCTTGTTCTAATGAGGAAATGATGAAACGTTCCAGGGTTTTGGTTTTCACATCTGTAAAATAGGCTCCATAAGACCAAACATCTTGTAGGAGAGAAAGAACCTTAATCCATCAGCAAAGCGAGGCAGGACCGAGAGGCGTGGTCTCTGGAGGTGGCACCATCAAGACACTGTTATGTGACTATAGAGTCCTGTCACCCTCAAGGGAATCAGGATGACAGGGGTCCTCTCCTCTCAGGAAGCTAAGAGAGAATCCATGAGAGGTGGCCAGGAACAACCACGTGTTTCAAGTCTGCTGAAAGGAGATACCGCTGGAAAACAATGAGTGCTTTATATAAGGTTCCCACAGGTTAGCAGACGCTTTAGGAGACTGTGAGGGTCACAGTGACTCTTCAAAATGGAGAGGGAAGTCACTCCTGCATGATGCCACGGCGTCCCCAAAGAACTTCCCTCTCAACACCCCAGAAAAGAATGGGAGTCCTTGACTGCCCCTCCAGCCCAGTCCTCCACCCCATCCCCTTCTATGGCTCCTATGTGATCTCAACAGGTCTTCTGGGACCAGCATGCTCTCTTAGTGCCCAAGCACATGACTTACCTGTTTTGGGGTCTACATCGGCTGGTAAGTGTGGAGGTGGATTTCCTGGGGTGAAGTGTTCATTGCTGTACGTAATAAGAGGCGTGAGGGGGTGTACGTGGTGAGGGTGCTGCACAACCGGCACTTTGTTCGACTGTTGGGAGAACAGAGAAAGCCACCATCAAGCTAGTCCCAGCAGCCGGCTCCATCCCGCTGACACCTTCTTCGGTGACATCAGAAGATACATTCCACATATACCCACCCATACCTCCCCAACTCATTTAAAAATAACAGACAGATGTCAGGTCGTTCTCTGCATTGGTTTGCTTTAGTTTTTACCTCCCCACTGAGCCTGGCTTTTAAAATACCTCTGTCATCACCGGGACTCCATCACAGTTTACACCTCCCCCATTTGCAGGTAGGTCACAAGCAGGAGGCTTTAACCCCCTCAGTCTACTGAGTTCCTATATGTGGGGAGAGATTATATACCTGAAGACCACTGGTAGAGACCTCCAGGAGGTACCCAGGCTTCATGGGGGCCAGTTATGCCTTGGAAAATCTTCACTTGCAGGGAAGTCAGCAGGGCCCCAATCCACCCCTGCTATAGGCTCCTTACTCCCCCACCCCCCACCTACCCACCCACCCCCAGCCCCTGCCCCTGCCCCGTAAAAACATCAGAAACGCTACAATCTGTTACAGACAGGGGCTGAAAAGCCCCACTCTCGCTGGGGTTGGGAGTGTGAACTTTACCAGAAAGCTCTAAACTGTCAGGCAAGCACCTGCATATTTTATGCAGATTACAGCAGGCTTCATTCTTTAGGAATTTCATTAAGAAGTCATGGGGGACCGCCAATAAATTAACTGGATGATGATGAATTGGGCTAATAAAAGGTATGCATTTTAGAAATGGGCAGCTTTAGAAAACAAAGTGCAGGTATTTTGATGTTTGGAAAGGGTGGGGAGGTGGTGAGAAGCAGAGTAAAAAAAAAAAAAAATCCAAAATTAAAAGGAACGCATTTTGAGAATTTTCTGGCTGCCATGACCAGACCTTCCCAAATTATTCTACTGGCCTTCTCTCACCCCGTTCCCAGCCACCCCACCTCCTCTCCACTACACTGTGCTGTAACTTAGCTCAGCAAGATCACAAAGAAGAAAAAAAAAATTAAGCTGAAACAAGCGAACTACTGGGCCATTTACTGAGAGTAATCCAATTGCAAAAAACCCTATTCCCAATAGAGGATTTTCACTAAAATCCTACAACAGGGACATTTAACCAGATTAGGTACCAGCGAAGATAAAGAGGCTAGTATTAGATGATGAATGGATTAGAGTCAAGTTTCATTTTAGAACGTGTCTTCATTTCCTTTTATTACTTTTAGGAAGGCACAACTTGCATTAACATCAAGGCAAAGGAATTGCATTAAGAGAAAAGAAGGAGGGTTCCAGTGCTGCCCACTAGTGCCTCCTGAGCTCAGGGACCACCGAGCAGTTCTCTCTACCATTTTTTTCTTCTTCTTTTTAAAAAATGAGTGTGGAAGGGGTATAATATATGGTGAGAGTATTCCTTACAACAATTAGTTATGATGAAGGCATCATCAAAAGATACTTTCAGACTACGGTTTGAAAGAACAATGCCCTTTCTAGATGTTACAGGGGGGAGGGGAAGACAACAGAAAAAGAAGTCACCAGTTGAACAGTCTGGTCTATTGACTCCCATAAACAACTGGACTCTTTGGAGAAAGTAACCAGCCAGTTGCTCACAAGTGCCTCTTGTTGCGAGTTGCTGTTGTTAGGTGCCGTCCAGTCGAGTATGACTCACAGCGACGCTATGAATATGAATAAAAGATCGGAACCCTGTTCTATCCTGTGCCATCCTCGCACTTCCTGACACCTATGAGCCCAATGCTGCAGTCACTGTGTCAATCCACCTGGTCGAGGGTCTTCCTCTCCTTTTCTGACCCTCCACTCTTCCCAGTATCATGTACTTCTCCAAGGTAAAGCACCTCCTAGCAACATGCCCAATGTATGTCAGGCAGAGCCTCCTCAAGCTTGCTTCCAAAGGGCATTCCAGATGCAGCCTCTCCAAGACACATCTGTTGGGAGTTAGTATGCTGGGATCATTGCTAAGGGCAATTGAGGCGATTCTCAATGAGTGACAGAGTAGAACTGCCCGGTGAATGTTTTAGGCTGTTCTCTTTATGGGTTAACTCACAGCAACCCTATATGATAGAAGAGAACCACCCCATAAGGTGTCAGAGGTTGCTGGGGGTTTTTTATCCCATTAAGCAACTGGTAGGTTCCAACCACTGAGCTTTTGGTCAGCAGCCAAGTGACTAACTGTTCCACCACCAGGGTTCCTTTAGAATTCCTAGTACTTAAATGAAAAGTGACTAAAACAGAGGGAGCTCTGGAAACCAGTAACATTCCCTCAGTCAGTAGCCATCAAGGTCAGGGCAAGGCCAAGCACGAAAGGACAAAGGACTGCTTGGAAAGTAACTGATACCAAGTTCCCTCAGAGGTGCACTGAAGTCCACTAGGAAGAAGGAATGGGATCGCGGCTGCTCTCCAGACTCTTTTCATTTGCTTGGGAAGATACACACTCTCTCCCACAGGAAAAAAGCCATCCAGCCTGGACCGTATAAAGTGAAGTGTGGAAAACAGCAGGGAAATGGGAAGAACCACACAGGGCCCAGAAGCGAAAGTGTCAACTCAGAGGAGGAAGCAAAGAGGATAAATCTGTGATGGGGTGGAGGGATGGCACGCAGTGAAACCTCCAGTCCTCAACCCTGGCTGAGCAAAGAAAGCATCAGTTACAAATACTGACTCGTGGTACATACTCATGAGATAGGAACTATCTCAGCTAGGACCTCATTCACATGCTTGGGCTCAGGTCCTAGGTATCTGGTCTCTGACCATTAAACATCATGGGTGTATCTTCCACTGAGTCATGAGGAAGAACTCCAAGGTCAAAGAATCACATGGGCACAGGCAAGCCCGGAGGCTTATGTTCTAATCAGGAGTCAATTTCTAGGATCGTTTCCACACGCATGGAGAAGGTTTAGTACAGAATCTGTTGCCCATGGTAAGCATAGGACTAGGAGTTTATTATTGTTATGATTAATTTTAGGGAGGAGAGAAATGGCTGGGTTCTATCTAAATCAAGAGAGCCAAGATCCCAGGGTTGTCTTTTAAGAAAACCTAGTGGAAAACAGGAAGGTGAGGTGGAGCTGGTCTCCAGTCTCTGCTTATGTAGTGAATGATGAAGGCGGCACGTGTGAGAATCGGTAGAATTAGGTCAGTCGCCCTCCTCTCTGATGCACATAGGAAAAGAAAAGTGCGTCCACAGAAGATGCATCTTGTTCTGTCAAGGTTCCGGTATGACTGAATAGAGCCAACAAGTTTTTCATGTTCAGCTGAAGGTTCTATGGCTTGAGGGGGTGAGAAGTTCTAGGGTTCTTGCCAGCCAGGCAGATCCCTGCAAATGACCATAACCATATCCCTCCAAGCTGAATGGTTCCCAAACAGGTGGGAATATGATTACACCTTCATAAGCCAGCATCTAATCACTGCTCCATTCAACCTGCTGACCCTGGATTGCTTTAATTATTGGGGGATTTTCTCTCTAGATCATATTAAGCCTAGCACAAAGTTGTATGTGCATTTGTCTTAGTCCCACCATGATAGCTCCTTACAGACAAAGGCTCTGTCACGGACTTCGTGTCTCTTCTGATGCCCAGCCTTTGGGAGTGCTGAGCAGAGTGTTATAAGTGGCTCGGTATTGTTGTTGTTGTTCTGTGCCATCAAGTCAGTCACTTGTGACTCACAGCAACACTATGTACAACAGCCCTGAAGCTCTGCTCTGTCTTGAGCCAAGCTCATTGTCTTTGACACACTGAATGCTATTACCCCAATCCTTGAGTCAATGCACCTCATCTAGGGTCTTCCTCTCTTGTGCTGTCCCTCCACCCTTCAAAGCGTGATGTCCCTCTCCAAGGACTGGTCTCTATTTGCAACATGCCCAAAGTATGTCAGACGGAGCTTCAAAATCCTTAAGAGACACCAACTGCAAACATAAAGCGTTCAAGAAAGAGTAAGATGGAACCTATCACACAGACCCCTTTTGAATAAGAGAGACTCTTTAAATGCAGTCTACCTGGAATCACAGACCAGAGCTGGCTGGTACTTCAGAAACCACCCAGTCCTGCCTGTATGCACTCTCACATCCATCACCTCAGTGGCAACAAGACCTGCAAAAGAGCTTTAGAACCCACTGCACTTCATGACCAGAGTGAAGTTTGTGAAAGCAAGAAAGACCTGGGTTCGGATTCTACTTCGCCAGTCTAATAGTGTGACTGCTCTCCTGTCTCTGTGTCTGCTGCTGTCAATAGCACATGAGAACTGTGTCTACCTCACTGGGTCCTTGTGGATCTTAAAATAAGGCAGTGCATGCACATGCAAAGGTGCACAGTTCTCGGCACACAATTAAACAGGGACTACAATGAAGCTTTAACTGATACAATATGACGGATGCTAGCGATGAGGTTAGCTGTTTCTCCAAAACCAAACCCCCCTGCAGCCGAGCTGATTCCGACTCATAAATGACCCGCCTCTGGATTTCTGAGGCCGTAGATCTCTAGAGGAGGAGAATGTCAATCTTTGTCTTTCGTGAGCAACTGATGGATTTGAACCACTGACCACTCAGCAAGCAGCCTGATACATTATGCAGTACCAAGGCCCCATGGGTACTCCTCTAGTCCCTAACTAAACTCACAGGCTGACTTCACTCATTCCTAATGTTAAGATGTTTGTTAGGGACATGGTGCCAAGAATGGGGATGATTTGGGGCCAATTTTCCTCAAAAAACACATGCTTCTTTAAAATGTGCTATTTTGTTAATAACTATTTGACTGTATCTTTTAAGGGAAAACCATCACATAATTATGCTAAGGAAGAATCCCAAAGGATGAAAATTAACTAGGAAAAGCTGAACAACATGCTCCTAGAATCTTCTGGAAACACAACGCAAGACAAATCAAAAACTTTCCTTAGAATCTACCTTCTCTTTGAACAATTCCCTCCTCTGTAAGAGAGGTTAAGAACAGTATGCAAAATGGTGCCACTCTAAGAAAAGTTCAGAGGTGAGTACTTTTGTTC